TGGGCTCAATGTCAGATTTTAAAGTGATCCTTCAGTGCCTTGACAAAAAAAGAACAAAAGTCTATTGTTTATTATGAGGGATCAGTTATTAAAATAGTAAATAGATATACATGTAATTATTTGTCAAATGGAAAGAAATAATAATGCTGTTAAAGGATTTTTGGTAAATGCATCAGCGGTAGATGAAGGTCTATATCACTCAGCAATATATGTACCGTACATTGATTTCATTTTTCAATACTATTTTACATATTTTTTGACTATATTATTTCAAGGCCTAACAAAATATTTTACTTCCGAATTGAATACATCAGTACGAATGAAAGTCGAAAATGATCTTTATATCATCAAAGATGCACAAAATCAAAAAAGATGAGAAGACTTATTCGACGGTTTCATCAACAAATTCGCGCTTTGTCAAAATCATGGCATTCCTGAATTAGAATTAGTAAGTCAAATTTTGAATAATCCAGAAACATTAGAAAAAATGTCGAATCAGTATAGTTCTAGGTGAGAAATAATATTGTATAAATGAAGAATGTAACTTTTTCCCAGCAAGAATTATGGCTAGAAATTGATCTTCAAGGCGCCAACATGTATTATAGTGTTTGAAAAATGATTACTACTTTTAGTCTACATATACTTTACCTATCACCTCTGTATTAGTAGAATTTGCTAGCGAATATCGTTCCTTAGTAATCTTCACTGCATGTCAATCACCTACAGTCTATATCATTGGATTATTACCACTAATATCCTTTTTAGTGATCAATTAGAAGAGAAACGAATTCGTATTGGAACCAATCCTTTATTTAACATGGGTGTGGGTGTAAAGATATAAGAATTTGGTGTGTAGGTGTGGATGCTGATCATCTTACATCTACAGCCACACTCTATGTTACATCATACTGGTCAGTCGATGTTATTCAGTACAAATCTTTGATTCAAAAGTTTGCTTTTCAAATTGATGTTGATGTTAAATTTTCTCCTGCTCACGCAAATCTATGTTTTCATTTAGTATCCAATCAAAATGATGGCATTTATCGTTAATAAATTGATAATTATTTTCTTTACTCCAAAAGCTCTGAAACGAACGATTATTCATGTTAAAACGCATTCAATTGGCTAATCTGTGAATTACATGCGTTAAAATATTTTCTTTGACCCAAAGTTATCGCGAAGCTTGTTAAAATGCATTAATAGTAAAAAAATATCGTTTTTTAGGCGTTGAATTCTTTAATTTATCGATTGTACAAGTTTTAACCTTTGACCTTCTTCAATTGTCATCATCAATGCGTGAAAACAACGCTCGGGGCGTTTATGCGTCTGTATGGGTAGCAAAACTAGATGACGATCAGCAAAAGCTCGATATAAGGGAAAATTATGTTTCAAATTTAGAATGTCGTTACAACTAATGATTGTTATACGCTTATGTATTGCTACATGTTTACTATATATTATAGACCTTTTGAATTTCTTTCAAATTCTTTATTCTTCAATAAAACGAACAGTTTACAATTAGTACGGCAAGAAAGCAGTACTATTGAATAATGCAATATTCTGGCTGGATCACACAAAGATCTTTATTCTTATTCAGATTTATTATTTAACAAAGCATGTCATCATCTATTATACTTGGCAGATGCGCAAAGATGCGGATTTAAACTGTTTCCAAGATGCATGGTCCCAAATCTAAAGGCCATGACAAATCTATTTTCGATGATGCCTACTATTATTGCATACTATTCAGGTTGGCAAAGTGTCAAATACATAAAACAAACTCAAATATACTATAAGTTTTACATTGATTGCTTTGTTCTAAATACTATTCATAGATAGTTTCCAGCTTTGAAATTCTTATCAGCAAACTTTAATAACTCATGAAAGAATCTCTTCAGGTGCTAATGAGTGTTGAAAGAGTCCAGAATGATCTGATTTTCCAGGTCCTCGTTCTTATGAATTCGAATTTTTCAACAAAATCCCGTAGTTCCCATGAAGTTACGTTGAAAATTGACTTTCGAGTTCCGATTCGAAACTTTGCATAAATAATCTTGTTGCTACAGTTTTATCGTTGTGAAAGTTTCAGCTTTTTTCGTTTCTACTATCGTCAGATACAAATATTGAACGTTCTACTGTGTGAGAAAATGAATTTTATGCTTATATTTGTATCTCACGACAGAAGCAATTGAAAAGCTGAAAATTTCACAATTGAACTAGTTACATTGAGAACATTACTTGTAAAAAGTTCCAAGGATAAATTCAAAAGTCATCTTGCAAAGTGAACTGACTGGAACTACGGAGTTTTCTTGAAACAATGAGTAAAAACTCTATTTCTCAAAAATGTTACAAGTTCAAGAAGGTAGATAAGCACGGATAGTTTGCATCAAGTGCGAAGCAAAAGTACACAAAATACCATGTTATTATCTACAGTAATTCTAGGGTATTGCTACTCGCCCTATCTTTCTGTCCACTGTGACATATATCCTTGACCGTCACTCCACAACCACCTTTGAAGCAAAAAAGTTGAAAGGATACTGTGAGTTAAAAGTACGACATGAAAGTGTCAAACTTATTCAATTAACTCATCGATCCACGCCTTGATAGTTTCTATGATGATCATCGAATCTTCCATCTCGATCACCGTGCTCTATGCAAAATTCTTTTTTCTTCTCATTAACAAGGTCTAAGCTGTTATTGTTTTATTCATGTCTTACCTTCACGTCCATTACCGGTGCAACCACGATAGGATCGTCGTGTTGGTGGTCCCAAACGTCGCGTATCTTCCAAAACTTATCATCATCCTAATCAATACAAGTAATTCATATTTTTTTATTCTTTCAACACAAGAGAAAGTATGCTCACTCGACATGTACAGATAATATGGCGTAGATGAATATTCATAAAATTATCGTAACTCGTTAAATATCCATTGTATGTTTCACCATTCTTGAGTTCTGCTAGCTCTAAACGAGATTAGAAAAAATGATTACGTAAAAGAAAAATCTAGAATATTCTGATCACTAGAAAATATAGAAGAAGATACAAATAACGATGTTTTATATTGTATTCCTTTATTGACTCACCATGTAGAATGAAGAAGAATATGTTTTATTTTAGATAAAATGAGTACTACCACCAATACTGTCGTCCCACTCTACCAGCCTAAAATTAATATTGAAGGTATCTATACTCCATATCCCGGTTATACAATGGTCTCACATGCGCTACATCCACTTCCAAAACCCCTCATTGCACTCATTGATTATCTTTCGTCAAGTGAACTTCGAAAATATTATTCATTTTTACCTCGTACAAGTTATCATGTGACTATTAATCCACTTGAAAATGTTCATGATGAACATCAAGAACTTTTAAAAGAGGAACAACGTAAATTAATCAAATATGATACATCGAGTGTATGTACAGCCGAGAGTATACACTATAGGAATAATATTCTACTCAATGTTCAATTTAAAGATGATAATCATCAATTTGAAGATATTATCAAGAGAGTACGATCAGACAAATTAGTATATGCAAATATTTTACCCAAATATACCATGTCATGGCATTTAGCATTAGCTTATAAATATAAGGATATCAACGACAATGAAACACAAACAAGATTCGATGAAGTTATTCGGAATATTCCCAATATAGCTAAATTTCCTTTCGATATACCACTTGGTCAAATTGAAATATGTCACTTTGATGATATGACTAAATTTACACCGATTAACATCGACTAATGCGCACACGAAACATATAATCGCAAAACAGAGAGGCTTTCGTTTCTTTTTGCCAACCACTCGATCTGCTCTAAACTTCTAACATATCAAGAAAACAATAATAAAAGGAACAAAAAGAAACATCCATGAACACATTTGTTTGTTTTAGTTGAGCCTGAACACTTTTCTTCTTTGAAGTTTTTCCGTGCGTGATTCAAGATCAACACCGAAACCAATGTGGGTATGCGTGTTAATTCATCCCACACTCACATTATCATATACATGTATCCACACCCACACCCTCTCTATCGAACGATGAAAACTTTAGCTCTCTATCTTGTTTCTATCAAAAGCTATTCAAAAAATGTCCACTAAATAGGTATTAGCATACGCAGCACAGGTGATAGAAAAACAGGTAATATCAAAATTTTATTATTACGATATTAAGTGAAATAAGATCAAATATTACAGAAACAAAAAGCATCTTTTTTACTATCATTGTATATAAAAAGAAAGTTTCATAAAGCTTACTATACTGTAGTAAGATGCCACTGTCACTACTTTTGGGCTGTCCTAAGTAGCGGTTCTTTGCTTCTTCCTATTTCACATCTTAGTAACAGAAGTTAATGAATTCATATTAGATAGGACGTATTTGTCGTTGAATTCCATGATTATAATAATAACAATGTTAAGTTCAGAAAAAAAACAAGTTCCAAATTGACAACAATTATTGAACTAGTAACAATTGAAGTAAAAAATAGGGTACTTGTAACAAAAAAACAAATTTCTGTTCGAACTGTAGATATAAAAAGACATTATTTGCGGACATAGATTATCCTTAAAAACAAGTTATTATCTTTTAGAAAAAATAAGCATTCTATACTATATATTAGTATAAGGATGCTAAAAAATGACCTGTAAGTTCCACATTACAGTCTTCAATGGACTGCGCTAGCAAGAGTTTATATTAAATAAATATTTTTTCTTCTGCATACAATTGAGAAAATTTTTTAATTTAATTTTAAACTATACGAAACCGATGAAAAAACTTATTCTATATTTCGTAATAAGTGAAAAAGTTCTGTGAATGGCCATAATACTTTTCCTTGATTACATCATTGTCTTTTAGAATATAAAAAACAAACAAAAATAGATGTATATGTCTATACAGCAAAAAAAAATAAACAAAAGTAAATATACACTAGCAACAAATGAAAAACCAAATACATTCTGAACATAATCATTATAATAATATGCTTTATTCGATAAGGCTTACCAAAGTGTTTTCAAAGCAAGGTATCGAGTTTCAAGTAAGATGATCACTATTGCTGTGGTTATTATCGATTGTTGAGCATTCTTCTCAAGTTTTTCAACCATTGATGAGGAGAATGTAGTGAAAGATTTTCCCGTCAACTGATTGACATCGTCCGCTGTTAATATCCATAGACCATCATATTGTTGCAATTCAATAAAGCGATCAACCAATTTCTGTTCATCCGTTGGCCAGATCATCTTCGATGTTTGATTGTTAGAGGCACTTGAATCATGCAATGATTTATAAATGTCAACAGATGTTGAACTTGTTACAGGTTTCGAATCAGAATGATTGGCAAATCTTGTGGTACGTTTTTCGGGGAATAGAGACGAAACAAAATTAATGGCAGGCTGCAGAACCGAGCCAATACTGGCACTGAATGTATTCTTTTGTCTCCCTGTTTTGTAAAATTGCTTTGAAGAAGTATCTAGTTCACAACAGTGATCCATTATAATTGAAAGGTCGTTATCTCTTTGCGCTATCGATTCAATATTACAGCACAAATCCATCCTTAGACGATTAATATCAGATGATAAAGATTGATATCTTAGAGAAGATGTATTTGATAATGCCCGAAAGCGTGTTACTGACTCTCGGCACGTCTTACTTATCATGATTGGCACTTCACGAAGTTCCATATCGACATTACTTTCACTATTGACATCCAACCTTCTTTCAACACCAATAAAAGCTGTGTATGGACACAAAATGCCATACTTGATTGAAATATTAACAAGAAGTTCTTTGTCTATAGTTTTTTGATCATCCGAAAGTTCACGGAGCAATGCTTTTGCTGCTAAATGCATAACCAGTTGCGAACCAAGTACTGATGGCACATGATCTACACGAGCTAAACCAATAGGTTGCTGTTGTATGCCAGTAAATAATTCAACAGTTGTTGTATGATCAAAGGGCATTGTCTCATCGAGTAAAGCATAAAAAAGTAACCGATCTCCGACAAACACGGGTGGAGCATGTTCGGGTACTTTATGAAGAATACGTTGGTTTGTATTCCATTTAACGTATACATCTGCTATACTTGGTTGCAAGGCACGAGAAAGCTGTTCGGCAACATAGATGTCCACATTTGTATGTGGAGCTATGAAATTAAAGTAGCCATTAGTAGTACGAGCTAAACCTTTAACAAGGGCACGGCTTGGCTATGAAACGAAAAAGAAATGTAAATGAAGTTATTTATTAAGTATGTGTTGCTTACTGAATGACCCAAACCAAATGAGAAAATGCGCGTGTATGTGGCCATCTCACGACAGAGATTTGTTACTTCGGTAACATTGGAAACCTCTCCATCCGTCAGTAGAAAGATTTGTCTTACACCACTTGCAGATGGTTTATTCTCCTTTAACCAATGCAGTGGCTTGAGTAATTCTGTGCCGCCAAGATCGGCAGTCATATCTTTGATCATTGCTTCAGCTTGACACATATTTGTCTTATTATACTCTCGTGTCACCTGATCAGTAAAAAGCGCCGAGAAACTAGATCCAAAACGAATAATATTGAAACGACAGTTGACTGGCAAACTCTTGAGAAAAAGTAACATTGCTTTGCGTGCTAGACCAATCTTGTCATCACCTGCCATCGAACCACTACAATCAATTACGAAAAAAAATTCGTTCGTCGCATTGTTTGAGTCTTGTCGACAATCTTGTTCAGTTGGGATGAATGAGATCATAACAGCACCATTGTCAATGGCTGCGATTGTATTTCTTCGTACATCAGATAATTCAACATCAACAATTATGTCTCGACTAGAAAAAAAAACAAATAAACACGCATGCATTTCAATGTACATGTGAGTGAGATGAGGACATTTTTTTTTCGTCCTATTATTGTTTTTAACTAATAAAATACGACAAATGACTTACTCGAGTTCAATTCCTTGTTGTGTAAGTGTGACAAGAAAGATCTCTTCATTATTGCAATCGACCTTGATTGGATGTGATGGAGACGAAATACAAGCAACATGCTGATCGAGTTTTTCTACTTGACACATGAATTCGATTGTGTAAGGAACCGTCTCAGCATATTCCACTTGAGTTTCACCTGGTGATGTGATACTTTTGTGTGAAGGTGAGTAACGAGGAGCGATTGTAGTAGGAACAACAAAACGAATCGTCGGCTTTTTGCTACTATGCAATAAATCGAGTTCACTCACATAACTAATTGTAATGTGACATTGACTACCGGGCTTTAACCTGGAATAAAACGTTATACGACAAACTGGATGTTTAGCAAATAAAAAAGAAACAATAACATACGCTCCTACACTAATGATAAATATGTCATTTGAAGCTTCATCTTGCTCTAATAGATAAGCACCGTGACCTTGAGCAAGAGCTTGTGTATATTCTTGTTGTGCTGCTTTTTTCTCCTTGATTTGAGCAACAATTTCACGTTCGTCATCTATACGAGCCACAAAGCCATAAATAGCTGCATTCTCTTCGACAGGAAAACTATAACGATCGTATGAATTACGAAAAAAACAAAAGAGAGAAACTGATTTTTTTTTACCAATAAACAGCTTCAACCGGCACAGATTCATCATTTTGAAATACCTGTGTAATTGTTACATCGGCGGCAAATGAGTGAATTTTTGTATCAACACGAACTTGTTTCAAAGGAACTAGTTTATCTGATGCCGCCGACGATGCTACTTCCTGCTTGATGCGAAGCATTCTTCACAATTAATCTCGTAGTATACAACAAACAAAGTAATCGCCGCAATTTATATAGTATGCAAAGAGAAATGATTCAGATATGAGTCACGTTAACGATTACGTGTCAATACTAGATGATTTAGTCACTGCCACCTGTGAAACTAACCAAGATTAGGTTTGAGTAAATACAATCATTATACTTTGGAAGAGATGACTCATCATAAATGTCATTAGCATTAAAAAAACCAAGCAATCAACTACATTTATTTTCATCAAACATGACTTTGTTGGTAGATGTCACTGATTCCATATGATACCTGGTAATTATATGAAAATGTTTTGTCTTATATGTAATATTTTGATATTTTAATATTACCCATAACTTACGTGGACTGTACGATAGCATTTTATCCTTTGAAAAAGGTGTTATGTCTAATACATGTTTTCACTAATCTTTTTTCAAGGCGTTACATGATGGAGTATATCTATTTGATTCAAATTGCTACTTTCATTCTTTTAGTTGAAATATGTATGCTATTCAAAGTATTGACAATTGGATATATGATTTGAATCAAATTTGATTAAGAATCACACTCGCATTTTGTTCTTTTTTCTGTTTGTTTTACTTGCTAACCTTCAAAAGTGATACGTACGTGACCTATTCAATATCTTAATGATTTAAATATCAATTACACATCATTGAATAAGAGAAATGCTGTCACACAGTTAGGCTTTGCACTTC